TGTTATGACCCCCTTTTCATTCCTGATTTTATTAATTTGCATATTCACTCTGTTGTTTGGTAAGTTTGGATAAAGGATTGTCTATCTTGTTTCCTTGAGAGATTTGTTGATATCTTGTATTTTTTGGTTAGTTTTTTCTTCCATTTCTTTAAGGGATTTTCTCATGTCCTCTTTGAGGTCCTCTATCATTTTCATGAAGATGCTTTAATGTCATTCTCTTCTGGTTCATCTGCATCATGATATTCAGGTCTTACTGGTGTATGGTCCTAGTCTCCGGTAGTGTCATATTGAGTTTTCTGTTGTTGGATGTGCTTTTACTTTGTCCTCTTCTCATCTTTTCTTCTGGTTGGTGTAGCAAGAGTTTCTTGTTCTCCTGGTGGGTGTGGGAACAAGTTTCTCTTCTGGTAGATGCAAACGGATCCAATACTCTGATGTCGGTCCTCTTCTCATGGATGAAGGTGTCACTGTTACCCTGGTGTCGGCAGTGTTCAGGCGTGCCGGTCCCACCGGGCCGGCAGTTGGAGGCAGAGCTGTCACTGGGCCTCGGTGTGTCGGATCCCGCTGCCGAACTCCATCTGGCACACAGGTTGCTTGTGTCAGATGACTCTGAGCAGCGACGACGAACAGGAGCCAGAAACAGCTCCTGGCCTACCTGGGCCGGCGGATGGAGGCCAGGCTGCCTCTGGGTGTTCAGTTTTTGGGACCTGCCACCAGCGAACTCGGTCCAGCATGCAGGTCGCTTGCGTCAGATGACTCTGAGCAGCACCACGGCTGGGTATCTTATAAAGAACAGAGATGTACTTCTTATATCTCTGGAGATTTGTTGAGTCTAAAACTGAAGGGCCTGCTTCTGACAAGGGCTTTGCTGCTGCATTGTCCCACAGTAGGAGGTGAAGGACAAGAGGACAAGCATGAGGCAAAGAAGAAATGAAACTGAACTCCATTCTTTTGTCTGGTCTCCTATGATAACTAACTCGGTACCAGATTTATATTCTGAGGATATAAATCCATAAAACCTAATCACTTCCTATGCTGGACAGTTTCATGTCAACTTGACACAAGCTAAAGCAGAGATTCTCAACCTTCCTGATGCTACCACCCTTTAATACAATTCTCCTGTTGTGGGTGACCCTCAACCATAAAATTGTTTTCATTGCTACTTCATAACTGTAATTTTGCTACTGGTATCAATGGTAATATAAGTATTTGATATGCAAGGTATCTGAAATGCAGTTTCTGTGAAAGGGTTGTTGGACCTCCCTAAAGGGGTCATTGATTCACAGGGACTGTTGAGCTAAAATCATCTGAGAGGAGGGAATCTCAATTAAGAAAATGCTTCCTTATGATGGGGCTGTAGATGAGATTGTAGGGCATTTCTTAATTAGTGACCAATGGGGGAGGTCCCAGACCATTGTGGGTAGTGCCATCCCTGAGCTGGTGGCCCTGGGTTCTATAATAAAGCAGGCTGTGCAAGCCAAGTGTAACAAGCCAGTAAGCAGCATCCCTCCATGGCCTCTACATCAGCTCCTGCCTCCAGGTTCCTGCCCTGCTTAAGTTTCTGCCCCAACTTCCTTCAGTGATAAAACTAAAAAGTGGAAGTTTAAGCCAAATAAACCTTTGTCTTTCCAATTTGCTTTTGGTCCTGGTCCATCACAGCAATAGAAGCCCCATTGGAGTAGTCTCCAACACAAACTTTGAGGCACATACTTGAACCACTTCAGTAACCCTTCATTGGTTTCTCCATCTCAATTATTTTCCACCTCAACCCATGCTACATACGGTTTTCCTTACCACTGTGAGAAAGCATCCTCTGTGTTACTCCCATCTCACCGCTTGAAGGCCATGTGTAGTCTACCCAACAAAAGAAGTGCAAATTCTCTGATACATGTTTTAAACACCGTTAGCTGGATTTAACCAACCTTCTTATCCTTCACCATTGTTCATGTTTCATTCAAACCAACCCAACTTACATGCTCTTGCCTAAACATGTTCCATCTTTCTTGCGTCTCAGGAACCCTTTCTGAAAAAAAGAGTAAATCAAGAATCCACTCCAAAACATTAAATCACCTTAGGGAAGAAAGCCTTTGGGTTCCTGTATCTCCTATCTTTGAGAGAATATGTGCTCATCCTACTGTATCATCTCAGACCCGTGTGATGTGGGGCTGGGAGTTAGCCAAAAGGAGGTAACAATACTACCACACAAGGTTTAGAGACCTGGCTTCATAAGCTAGGTGTAGGTGCAGGTACTTGTGTTTATTGTGTACAAAGTTCATCCCACAACATGTGAACTTCATGAATGTCCTAAAGGAGAGCATATGGTTAAAAGCATAGCTTCATAGATTGACAGAAAAGGTGCCTCTTGAATTGTAAAGCCATGTCTGGACAGTGTGAGTTAATTCATGTTGCTAGGCTGACTGGAGAGGCAGAGATGTTCACAGGGCGAGATCTGTGGCACTGTGCTGTGTTGAGATTGACATCCTGAGGACACCTTTCGTAGGTGCATCTTCAGTGCTCTATAGGAATACATTTATTGAGCAGGAACACACCTTCATATTTTAGTATATAGATCTGGTGATAAACTTAGGAATGCTGTACTTAGTTGGTTTGTTGCTTTGTGTTTCCTTATAAACTGAGCTTTGAGGGAATGCAGAATTTTAATTGTAACTTCGCTAATACTTCTATCTAGAAGCCTGCTGCCATTTTTGTCTTCTATGAAATTTTTGTTGCCAAGGAAAACAGGATTACAGTTTTGTCTGACAGACTGAGATGGCGTGGTGTATTCTTGGTTATCAAAATACTCATGTAGCGTGGGGTTTTTAGTTGGTGAATATTCACAATGTGGGGGAAAGTGTGATACATATTGTATAATCTCAAGTCCCTAAATGTATGTACATTGAAGCATCTAGAAGGACACAGTAAGCTGAGCTGCTTGTGACTGGGAGACTGTTCTTGGCTTCTTGTGTTTCGTTTCCTGTAATGCACATACTACAAAATAAATAAAAGCTTCTTTTAAAAGCTTTTAAAAAAAAAGAATTTGAGGCCTAATTCTACTTCTGTTTCAATGGGTCATTTTATTTACTTTATTTTGTCGGAAACATTTTAATGTTCTTAATTATTCATTGAGAATTTCACATGGTATAGTATTAAAATATTTTCCATCCTCCAAATCTTCCTAACTCCCCTCACCCTCAAGAGTTCATGCTCTTTCTTTTTTTAAAAAACAGAGTTCCAGATGATGATGGTGTGATGGTGGCACACGCCTTTAATCTCAGCACTCATGAGGTAGAAGCAGACAGATCTCTGTGAATTCAAGACTAGACTGGTCTACAGAGAGAGTTCCAGGACAGCCAGGGCTACACCAGAGAAACCCCGTCTCTAAAAACCAAAAAAAAAAAAAAAATTCCTAAAACCATGGAATCTGATTTGTGTTAACTATTCTTGAACATGGTGCCTTCCCTGGAGTGTGGCTGCTACACCAATGTCACTCCACTGAAGAGAAGTGATTTTCCCACTCCCAGCAGTTATCAATTGAGAATAGCTCATTGGCTAGGGCGGTACTTGTGCCTACTTCCTGTCCTTCATGCTTGGATTTTGTCATGCTTGAGTTTGAGCATGTCTTGGCATTCTTCCATAGTCTGAGAGAGTATATATCTTTCCTGATGTGTCTGGAAAGGTTGTATCCTTAAAGTCATCTACCACCTCTGGCTTTTAAAGCTCTTCTGCATGACTCCCTGAGTTTTAAGTGTAGTGGTATGATAAATATATACAATTCAGAGTTTAGCAATTCCAAAGCCTCTACTCTGCATATTGTCTAGCTGTCTCTGTTTAAATTATCACCTACTGCAAGAAGGTTCTCTGATGAGGACTGAGTGGCACACTAATCTGTAGGGGAAGCTGTAGCCACGCCTACTTAGGGGCTGGCTACAGGTGTGCCTGATCATGCCTGCGAGGGCGTCAGGGTAATGTATAGTGAGAGGTTCAGGTGGATAGTTCACTTTCGTTTTCCCCTTTCGGCTTGCTGCATAGACTGATGCCACACTGGCTGGCTTGGTCGCTCTGTAAGTTAAGGCTTTTCCCTATTAAATATCCTTATATTTCTACTTGGCTCTGTATTGGTAATTTCCCACTTTATCTGGTGTCAGAAGTGGGATCGGCTCCGCATTGGTAATTTCCCACTTTACTAATCTGTGGGTATAGCATTAGGAGTCATTTTATTCCTATGTTCCTTTTGCAGAATAACAGTAGTGCATTTTCCCCTAGGACCTATGACCTAGTCTCTTGGTCTTGGCCACTTACAGTGTCAGGGATAGGTTCCACCTCATGAATCAGGCCTTGAAGCCAACCAAAATGTGGTTGGTTATTCCCTTAACATTTGTGCCACTATTGCACCAATAGGTATATCTTGTATGGAGATCATTATTAAAGCTTGCAGGTTCCAGCTAATGGAGATTAATGATTACTTTTCTCCTCTGGTAACATGTATAGCACCTTCCAGAACTGGGAATACTATCCAAAAGGGATGAAACTTTCTTTTGAATGCCAGAGAGATTTCTCCATGTAGTATATCATAAGTATGTGGTATCTTCAGCAGTAGGGACTTACTATCAAGTTGTCACAATAACCAATAGCGTTGGTAATAATCTTTTGTACTTGGGGAGTGTGTGGTACTCAATAGGTAATTTTAAAGATGTAATTGTTGTAAGTATATTTTTCCAGAAATGAAAGGTTAGTTCTTGTTTCAGAAATTTTGACTTATAATTCACATTTCATGTGACATAAACTCAGATCAGATGCATGATTTCTTATTCCCCATCCAGCCAAAGAATTCATTTTCTCTGCATTCTCCGTTAGCATGTTGCCAACTCTGGTCTGAAGCAGATAACCACCATAGCTGGCCCTTCTCCAATCTAAGTAAAATTCCCACACACACCCCCAGAGCACACACAGTACACCTGTTGTACAGCCCCATGACCATGCATCTCAGCTCAGGAAGGAACAACTTGCAAGCACCTCAGAAGTGGTTTATTCACACGGGCATTTCTGTTACCATCTTGCTTAGCTATGTTTCAGTAAAATATCTGCCTTCAACTTAGTTTTCTTCAGCTCCAAAGAATACTTCAGTTCTTCCATTGTTAGCCCACTTTCCTTTAGGCTTCTCACAAAGTTCTCTGTGGCACTGCAAAAGTCCTTACTCTCCTGAAAGGCAAGCTGAGGAAAGAAAAACTTTAATGTTACAACTAGAGAGATGAGATTCAGCTCTCTACTCTGAAACCAATAAGCTGCAAACCCAGGGAATTTCCACGAGGATCTGAGTCCACAACATCATCAGTTATTTACATTTTCTGGTTTAAATATAATCACTGCTATTTCAAGAATAATACAGGCCAAATTTAGTCTGAAGGAAAATAAATGTGTTCAGAGTGTATTGGACTCTAGACTTGGAGCAGCTTCTCCCAGCAGCCAGTGCTTACAGATAGATCTCATGAGTATAATTAGATACCTTCTTTTATATGCCAAATGAGGCAGTAAATCCCATAAGGAGGTTTTGTGAGGTGTTTGTGATGATGGTGATGAATAGGAATGTTATCTAGAAATGTGAGCTGGCCATTTTACGAGGCTCCTTCTGCAATGGGTCAAAGTGAACCCATTCAAGCAAATTACCCAGAATTGAACAAGTATCCACTAAGTATATGCCAAGAGTAATGGCAGGCCTGAGACTACAGTTAAGAACAAAACATATAACACCCCTTACTTACAATTGCTTTCCCAAGTGCAATCTGTTCAGCCAGGTGGAGGACTTCCTGAATGGACTTACAGGTAGGATAGGAACTGCTCCACTCCCCGTCAATGCATTGCAGCTTTTGTGTGCCCACTAAGTGATACCTGGAGATGTTAGAACACTTAGCTTTTATGGCTTCTAAGCTGAGCAATGGAGACTGTATTTCAGTGTTTCAAACTGTGATCAAACCCACCTTCCTGCCCCCGACTCTTAGTGTATACTAAGAGTATACTAAAGCAAAACAGCTCTCCTGAAATGGTAGGCAGCCCAGGGATGAATCAACTCAGAATAACACAGAGGAAAGTGAGAGCTTCAGGACCAGTGGTTTTGGTGGGAACAGGTGGGGAAAGAAGTGTTTGATCAGTCATAACCTAACAGACATCTGTATGAAGCGCTAAAATGCAGGTGCAGGTGAATGTTCTAGATGAGAGCGGTGGTGTGTGATCAGAAAAACAAAAGGTGAATCAAAACTGAGAGGCGGGACTTAAAGGCTGAGGAAGTTACATGACCCATCAAGGAGGGAGAGAAGACCATCTGAAGGAACGTTAGTCCTTGTTACAATGCTTTAAGGGTCTAAACTCTAAATCGCTGCATTTCTGATTTTTGTTTTTTGTTTGTTTCTTTAAGGTTTCTGCTCTTGGATTCTGTGGGAAATACTCCATTCTCTGTATCTGAGGCAGTTGGAGCAACCCTTTGTTGCAGATGTTCTACAGATTATAGGCATACAATTGATGTGTGTGTATGTGTGTGTGTGGGGGGGGGGGTTACTGGCCATTCTCTCCTTTGAAGACAGGAAACAGAGAAGGAAGGTAAGGTCTACTAGACAGGCATACCATACCCATTAGAAGGATGTCACTGCAGCATTGAGTACTAGAATCCAATTTTCCTCTGTTACTTCTGTTCCCACTGTATATAGATGCTACTCTGCTTATAACCATGATGCAGATCCTTATTTTCTGGCCTGATGCTATCGAGGATTGCTTGATAATAAAATATGTCCAAACTCCCACAGAGGCTTTCCTTTTCAGGGTTTTCATAAAATTAGCCTTGTCAGCAGAATTCCAAGAGGGAAGAGAGTGAGCAAATTCTGGATGTGGACATGGATTCTTCCAGGGAAATCCTCGGCTGGCCTAAGCCTCCTATGTGATTTGATGCATCCCCATTATGTGACTTGCTGGAGGACCCTGTGAGTACTTAGATACCTCAAAAGTCCAAGAAAGATTGCTAGCCAAGTTGAAGGCAGCAAATAAATCAGTGGTGGGAAAGCAAAAGGAAAACTGAGTGGCCACTGCTGCTGATGTGTGACAATCACACTGGCTCACAGAAGCCATCCTCAAGGAGATAACTCGGGCTCATAAGTGGAAAGATTAAAGTTAGAAAGAGATGCCAGAGTGGCAAAAGACAACAGCAAAGACACATTAGCAAAGACACTTGACCTGGCAGATGAACATTCACACCACGATTCTGCAGCAGGCTACCAAGACATAGAAGACCTAATGTGGAGACCCCCTGAAGATAAGGACTCAAACAATCTGCCTGCCCCAGGATGCCTGCACTCCCCTAAGACACTCCTCCACTCCTCTAGAGTTACTGCAACTGAGAGCCAAGTTCAAGCAAAAACAGAGTGTGTGCCTCCTGCTGAGCCTGTGAGACCTGAATGCTGGTGACATTCTCCTCAATACTTCAGCAGCAGCAACAGTCAGTCACTGGCAGCATGGTTAACTACTGTCATTAGACATACTTGGTCCAACTCTAAAGACATCCCCATGCCAAGGGAAATAGAGACATCTACAGAAGAAATGCAGTCATATTTGAAGGAACTTGGTATGAAAGATGCAATGTGTATTCTGACTTTTTCCGGTGCTTATAATGACCTGCAAAATAGAGATGAAAGATGTCATCTTGCACTGGGTACCTGACCTCCAGTCAGGTATGAGGTCTGATATCCATGCTATCCTATGCCAACAATACCAAAAGAAGCTCAAATGGTTACAGATTCAGTGGAGACAAAGATAAAATACAGGGGAATGCTGTGCTCAGAATAAGTAAACATAAAAGTGGTGAAAGAATAAAACTCCACTCAGTAAAAGAGGGTGGCTCAGGAGTCTCCCAAATGCAAGCAGTCCTAATTAAACTCAGTGGGTGTCCCCCAACCCAACACAGGAATATGAAGGAAACGTGTTGGAAAGACAGAATTTGGTGGAAGTGGGAGACAGATGAGTGAGAAGTAATGGGGGGATATAAAAATGACCAAGATATATTATTTACATATATGAAATCATCAGGCAATAATACATTTTTAAAAAACAGACAAGCAGCCAAATTTGGACAACAAAACTTTGGAAATCACTCCCTTAATAAAAGATTCCAACTCCTATTCCTGAAAAGGCAGTGTACCTTTAGGACTCCAGAATAGGCACACGTGTGTGGGGGGGGGGGGGAATAAAAAGGAAAATCTGGGCTCATCCTCTAGTTGAAAATGCCATGAGAGATGAGGCTTCCCCTGAGCCAGACAGTATAGTGAGCCTCTAGGTATGGAGAAAACAATGAATAGAGACTTGTTCAAGGTTCCACATTCCTAAAAACAGACTCCTCATATGTAGTTGGCTAGTTATTGGTTCCCTGTAACACAGGAGCCACTATGCAGACAGCTACTGGTGCCAAAAGTACACATATCTAGAAACCCAGATTTAACAGAAACTAAGAGATCCAGTGGACAAATAGCTCCAGTGCTCACTTTTGAGACTGGGGCATATGCCCCAAAGGTCTATGCCATAATCCCTTAATATATTGTGAGAATAAACACATTTTACTGCAAACTACCATGGGAAAAGTACATGACAAACAAATATGTCTTGGCCATAAAGTCAATCTCAAAAAAACCATACTAGTGACACCACTGACTCCAAGGCCATATACCAGTACTTTCTAAAGGTATGGGGGAGCACCAAAAGAACACAGAAACAATCCATGAATTGGGAAAGGTAAACATCACTATGCTTGTATGTAACCTTTTAATTTGTTGTCATGCCCTATCTAAAAGCCTGATGGGACATAACTTAAGACAGCTGGCTACTGGGAATATTAAATAAGGTTAACACTGCTATACTGCTTAAGTGTTGAAAATACAACTGGGCCATCACCATTGTGATCTATGTACTGGATTTGTCCAATGATTTCTTCAGTTGTGATATAGCAGTTGAAAGGCAAGGATATCTTGCCTTCATCTGGGAAAGCCATCAGTGGACTTTCACCATGTTTCTCCAGGGTTATTTACACTGCCTCACAGTATGCCATGGGATAACAATATCAGATCTAGCAGAATGAACCAAACCAGCATCTGTTCAAATATTGCATTACACTGAGGAGACATTAATCCAAACAAGGTCCAAGGACCTAAATTGTTTATGAAATATTTGAGTGTTGTCTGTTACCGTAAAATGAAAGTATTGCCACAGATATAACAGGCAAGGCACAGGCTTTCCTCCTCCTCTGCATGGTTAAGCAAATGGAGATCTATAGGGCTAATCAGCTACTGGAGGGCTTCCATCCCATACCTGGCCCTTCCCACCTAAGGCCATGCTACAATTCAAATACAAAGCAAGAGACCTAGGACTGTAAGAAGCTCATTCCATGGCATTTAAGGGAGAAAAATAAACCTGTGGAGCAAGTACTGGGTATGCAGATAGTTCACACACAATAAGGTGCTAACCATGCAAATGTCTATTGGGAAAAAAATGGTACACTACTCATAAAGTCTTAATAGCCACAAAACCCACTGGTCTAGAAGCTCTGGTCAATATATTGACTACTTACCCACTGGAGGCTAGACAACATTAGTTATAGACCCATCCATAGTTGGGTACAGCATTGATGACTACTTTGGTTAAGTGAAAATATTCTAGATATGTAGATAGCACCTTCTTCCTCAGTAGAGAACTCCAACAGTGTTGGCACCCCCATTTACTATCAAATAGAAGAAGTGTAGGCAGAGTTTTTCTTTGGGATCCAATCAGCTCTGTCCCAAATATCCACAGAGACTTAATATTAATTATAAATGTTCAGCCAATAGCTTAGGATTGTCTCCAGTCAACTCTTACAACCTAAATCAACCCATTTCTATTCATCTATGTGCCACCCTAAGGCTCGTTTACCTCATCTATGAACTTCCTATGTTGCTTCTTTGGATTCTGGCTCACAACCCTTATACCCTGCCCTTCTTCTCCCCAGCAATCCTTCTATCCTGAAAATCCTGCCTAGCTATTGGCAAATCTCCTTTTTTATTAGCAACACATTTCCACAATGTACAAAAGGATTATTCCACAGCAAAGGAGGAGTGACTGTACCCAGTGAAATGCTAGACTACCATTCATCAGTGAAGGAAGGAGAAACAATTATAAATTGGTGGGTTGGCAAAGTGAAACCACCCCCTAACAGAGGGCAGTAGCCTACTACAGAAAGACAGAAAGCTTTTGTGTTGATGAAGGTCAAGTTTACAGTAGTTAGTGGGCCAGACTCCATGCAGTATGGATCCTAGCAATGTGAGAAAAGAAACTCCTAATTATAAGCACAGAGCTTTGGTCCATGTTCAGAGGCTTTCGTTTTGGCTTTCTCACTGGCAGAGTCAGCAGTGATTCATTAACAAACACCCACTGTGGGGACAAGAGCCATGCGGAGATATGAGAGACAATGTAAAACACAAACAAGAAATGTTATAGCATGTTGCTGACCATCAAGTCTCATCAATCCTTACAATGACCTGGAATAATGACTGAAAAAGTCCCTGCCAGGCTGCACAGATGAATGGGGTACACAGGCCAGAAAGTCATGTAGGCCGTTGCAATACAATGGAGACCATGAGGACAGACATTGTACATACTTACCAAAATTATGTGGGATGTTCTCAGTGACATCCACAGCACATGCTAAGATGGAAAATACACACATCAACCCTCTACCCAGCTCAGGGAAAGGCCAGTTTAAGTTGATACATCCTAACACTGTCACTAGACTTCTGCAAGTTTGTCAGGAAAAGAGCCATCCCAAAAGCTACAAGACAGTGATCATTGACTGGACTGAACTCTCCATATGGGAATCTCTAGGTAATTAAAACTTACCAAGAGCACTTTCTAGGTCATGAAGTGAAACGGCAGGTGAGTAACCAAGACTGGTAACCAAAGCCTACTGTGTGTCTTCCATCTATCCTTAAACCCAATAGGATCAGGACTCACCAGGAGTAGAACACATCAAACAGGCGAATAAGCAACTGAATCTGGCTTTAAAGATAGACTCCCACTTTTTTCCCTAAAGTACTGAAAATGCTCAATTAAAAGGTCAAAACAAAACAAAAAACAAAAACAAATTCAGCAACAATAAAGCAATAGTCATAATTACCCAAGAGAGGGCCCTAGCATTGAGATTACAAATTAAAAGGGCATATCTCTTTAGCCAACATGGGGACCTGACAGAAATTTGCTCCTCTCAGATCAAACTGAAGTAACACCATCCACAGAATACCTTATGTAGCCCTAGACGGTCCCAACCATTGTTATGTCTATCATGCTAGGAAAATGGTCTAACAAGTGTGCTCCATAACAGGAATTACTCACAAAAGGACATATTTCATAAACAAATGGCAATTGCATCTCCCTGCAGGATCCTTTTCCTTTCTCTCCCCTGAGTCCCAGCTGACTGTGGGTTGAATAACTAAGCAACAAGAGTACTTTCAAAGTGTGGTGGTTTGCATAAGATGCCCCCATACTCTCCAGCACTCAGATACTTCATTCCCAGTTGGTGGCACTGTTTGGGAAGGCTTAGGAAGTATGCCCTTGCTGGATGAAGTATGTCACAAGAGGGGTGCTCTGAGAGTTTAAAGGCTCATGCCATTTTGAGTTCATGCTCTCTGCTAAGTGCTTGCAATTTATGATGTGAGCTCTCTGCTTGAGCCACCATGCACCTGCTGTCATGCTTGCTGCCAGGACGCTAATGGACTCTTCTCCCTCTGGAACTATAAACCCAAATCAACCCTTCCTTCTATGTTGCCTTGGCTGTGGCACTTTATCACAACCATAGAAAAGTAACTGCTCCAGCTAGGGTATAAAGGTACTCTACACTTACCCGTCTCGACAGTAATAAGTAACAACAGATCCTGCAGTGAAAGACTCTCCTTCGAAATAGCCATGGCTAGGAACCCCAGGAGGTCCACAGTCTCCTAAGGGGAAGGAAGACAGCCTGGAGTGAGCTTTGTGAGAGGCGGGTACAATCAAAAGGACAGAGCTTCCTATGCTGTGTGTACTCTAGAGTCTGCCATTTTCACACTGGGACAAGTGAGACCCAAGAGCGCGTTCTCCATTCATGTCTTTCTCATGAAAATAACAATTGCCCATGGAAAAGATACTTTCCCCAGCTTGACCCCTGAGCTCCAGGAAAGGAGCTACACACTGTAGAGCTGCCAATTGGTATAGAAGGCAACTAGGGTTGAAGGTGTGGTTCAGCTGGCAGAGTGCCTGCCTAGCATGCATGAAGCCCTGGGTTCAAGCCCCAGCACCAGTAACAGGAATGGTGGCACACCTATCATCCCATCACTCCTGAAGTGGAAGCAGGAGGATCAGAGGTTTCGAGAGGAGGGGAGGAAAGAGGAAGAAAGGAAAGAGGAAATTTGGATCATAGGGGAAGGATAAATAATTTACAAGACAGTAGGGGAAGGTTTTATTCTGGCTGATACACTAATAGGGCACCAAAAGGCAAATTTTACCCCCAGAGTGACAATACTAACCACTACTTACTATTTCGGCATATGGGCAAGGAAGGTGCCCAGGTGTGGTCCTCTAGGCACTGGCTCCAGTTACTTCCCTTGAGGATGTAACCATCATTGCACTTAAACATGATCTTGTCATTTATATTCACAGGCCCAGAATAATTGGTCTTGCCATTTTCCAGTACAGGCTCAGGACAGTGGCCCACTGAAGAAGAGAACAGCCAGTGCTCTAAGGGGCTAGGAAGAAGTAAGTGTCACACTTCCCCAAGCCTCAGAAAGGTAACAGTAACTCAGAACTTAATGGTGCCCATGTATCTAAAAGGGTAGGTGTGTAATATCAAACCATACCAATGCAGGATGAGAAAAGGCCAAGGCTCCATAATCGGGGACAAAAAAGGAGTGGGACTGTCGTGTGGAAATTTCCTCCAAAGCTCCTTAAGACCTACGACCTTCGAAAGAAGGCTCATTTGGACTCTGGAAGTTCTAAAGGGAAAGGACTCAGCAAGAAAACAGCTAAGAAGCCTCAGGAACTTCCTGAACCTGGCTAGATTCGCAGGGCTCTTCCTTCCTTAATGTTACATAAGCAGTAAGGACTGCCCAGAGCTGCTCAGACTAGCTGGGTGGCCTGGAAGAGAGTTTTCAACCTGTTTAGCTGCCTGCAAGTTGTACAGAGGGCTGCAGGTTCCCAGTTTCTGTGAGCCATCATAACTGCTGGAGTAGACTTTGGGAGATACAGCTGTCATTGAGTCATTTCTGCTTCTGGAAGTAAGCCCTCAGCATACTCTTGCAAGCAATCCCAATAAAGTCATCGATTCACCAAGTTGGACTTTGGCAGTGTCCTTAACCTTGGTCTGTGATTAGTTCCTTATCTGAAATGGGAGGACATTTTTCATGTCTCCCCAGGAACAGAGTCACACAACATCGTCATGCACAAGAATATAAATGACAACTATACTATACAAAATGAAGTATGTAACTAGGTATTCCAGTAACATGTTGAACACTCACTCACTGTTCAGTGTCTCAAGCCTGTTTCAAGCAAGTCTTTCCTTTTCTTTCATCTAGACAAATATGTACTTACTCATTTCTTGTTTTCTCTTTCCCTATATATTTTAACTGTTTCTTTCTTGTTGAAAATCAGGAGTCAATGGAGAAGGATGTATTTTTTTCATATGAAGGAAACTTTAAAATGTTATGCATAGATAAAATTAACACAGCTTATTAGAAAAATAATAACAAAAACCATCTAGAAGAATTATGCTCTGTCACTACAGAAGATAACACAATGATTTTTGTCACCTGGAGCAAGCCACTTGAATCTCACTTATCACATATGCAAATTGAGAATATAGCTTTCCCCTAGTTTGAAAGTAACATGATGGGTAGGCATTGGTCATGTGCCTGAAATCCCAGCACTGGCAGGGGGTTGTAAGTTCCAGGTCACTAGGGGCTACATATCAAACTCCAGGCCAACATGATGGGCTACTGTAAATCTTGTTTCAGAAGCACCTGGTGAAATAGACATTAGCTTCTTAGAAATTGAGGTTTTTTGTTTTTGTTTTTTTGGTTTTTTGGGTTTTTTTGGTTTTTTTGTTTGTTTGTTTTTTTGCAATTTTAACATGGCCTGCAGTCAGCAGGATATAATAGAATACAGGAGATGACAATATGGACAGAAAAACCAAACTCACAGTGGCATTCAGGAGGGGAGTCATCCCATTCCTCTGAGAGATTGAGGACCAAAGACTGCTTTCCCACCAAGTGGTAGCCTTTGATACAAAGGTAAACCCCCAGAATCTGTCCTTCTACTTCCTTTGCAACAAATACACTATTGTCCACTGGAGGAAGCTCTGAAAAGCTCTCTGTTGGAAGGAAAAAAGAGAATAGCGTCATTTGGCATGTCACTGGCTCAAGGACACACCACGGGATTCCTCCCGCCAAGTCTTTGCTTAAGTAATCTCCCCACCATGTCGTGTCCTCTCATATGTGTGCCCACATCCCTAATCCTCCAAAGATTTCCAAAGTTATGCTTCCAAACAGATCAGAGGCATTGTAGTCAAATTCAGCCACAAATTATCCATTCTTGAACAAGCAATCCCTTCCCCCAAGTATCAGTCCTAGAGTTTCTCATCATTGACATCTCGGGATTTTGAAATTGTCACTTTTGGGAGTCCCAGAATAAAAAGAGCAAGTCAGAAATGACCACCCATCTCAGGGAGCAAGACCACCATTAACATATACTAGGTCCCCAATGAGTATAGAGCATATACCTTAACTAAGAATTTTTAATAATGTTATAAATGTAAATTTCATTAAAACACTACACAGAATGCCTCTTAAGCCACAAACTAACATGAAATATCTTGTTAGGAAATCATACTTACCATCTAAGGCAGAAATCAGCCACATCAGAGAGCACACAACCCAACAAAGCATTTGGTGAGCACTTACTTGACCCAGAGTGAAATTACACCGTAATTTAGATCATAAACATCCTCCTAACCACTTAAGATCAGAACAACTTCCTTCTAGAGAAGGAGTTATATTTTCCTCCTGGAACAAATGTGAAAAAGAGTCGTCTTCCCTGTGACAGGGAAGAACAGCAGGAAGAAGACGGTGTATCCAGTGGCTTTGCAACCACGAAAGATTGATTAAAGAGCTGCCAGATTTAAAATTTTAACAACTTTCCCCGTTTCTAGAAATGTAAACCAGTTGACCAGTCACTGTGAACTGCAGGTTTATCCTTTCCCAACAGGCATGGGCCAAATGGTCCTTTACTTCTGTCAATATTTACCAGTGTCTACAGTCCACTGCCTACAGCCCTTTCCACCTATGGGGACATAAGAGGGTGTAATGGTCAATGGTAACTTCCCAGTGAAGACCAAACTGAGTGCCACCTCCCTGCCACTTTTCTAAATTCTCTTCTGTGCCAGGGACAATATTGACAGGCAGGCAAGATAAGACAGGTGAATGAACGCACCAAAGATAACAAGAAGGCAGAAGCTGCATTAATCAGACACACTTCAGTACAGCCACAGTGGGAAAGACTAGAGACAAAGTCTACCTAGAGGCAACTGAAGGGACTGCATTTATCGGGTGGCAGTCTGACTACATGGGTAGTGAGCTATTTTTTCAATGTTAAGAGTGTTCTGGAATGGGTCATGTATTGTTAGAAGCAATGACAGTCTTTGCCTTGAATCAGAAATGGCTGAGCACAAGCACCTATCCTGAGCTGGCACCCAAATTTTATATCTAGAGCTCATTATGAATAGCTCTGATAGCAGTCTTCCTGGGAGGCAGCAGTGACCTTGCTCTGAGCCAAGCCTTCTGTGAGCCAAAGCAGACTTGTTTTGAATGCCTTAGTACATTCGTCCACATCAGATCAGCTTCCACATATTAGCTACCTCAGGCAAGTGCTTAGTACTGAAGACCAGAAGTTCAAGTACAACTGGGAAACTAAGAATTTCTTTTTGGGTTCTTAGTCTAATTGATAAAAGAACTTAAAACAGAGTAAGAAGGAAGCCTGTGAACAATTTTATTAGTTTGAAGGCAAGCCTTCAAATCTTAAGGCTGCCAAGAGGCAGGAGGTGGTGTGAAGAGGAAGAAATGAAGCTGTGTCCTATGCATTGGAGGTTGTTAAGAAATTGCATGGGGGCTGGAGATGGGGTACTTAAGAGAAAGAATGAAAAATCCCAGGGTGACTGGGAAAGCACACTTCTACTTTGGGATGGTAGGAAAGAAAGAAGGGAAAGATACATTTCTGAAAGCAGAGTGCCTCTGCAGTGTTGCCTGAGGGAAGCACCCTCAGGCTTCTGAAGTAGTGGCTTCTGAAAGGACACTCAGTCAACACCTACCTCTTCCTGGCTGCTGCCTGATCTCATTAATTATTCTTCCCTCCGCTTAACATGACATCAAGCAAATCAGATTTCCAGGGGGTTGGAGGGAGTGGGCTCCTGGCCAGGTGATTGACAGGTCCAGCTGGTTAACTCTTAAAAGACAACAGTATACAATGTTTTGGGAGGGTTAGAATGTCAGCTCTCCACCTAGGGACAGAGATAAAACTTAGACCCTGTTCTTTTGATCAGGAGGAAGTACCTTTACCTTAATAGAGCTCAACAATAACTTCACTTTTCCATACAGTAATTTAAATCCAATGGTGCTTGCCTTTCTATTGTTACCAAGAAAACAAGAGATAGGCTCAGAAGTCAGCCAGGAGGGAAGGGCCCATCCTCAAATGCCTCCAAGGCTTTTAATACCACCCCCAATTTAAGGAGGTACATTTAACCTACTTGTCTGTGGCTTCCCAGAACTGGCATTACCTTTCAAGCAACAGGCAGTCATTAAAAATCTGTAAGTCAATGAATAAATGTCTAGACTAGTAATAATACATGGCTGTAACAATCCTACTGACTGCAATGCTAGAGGAACTTGATAGTCACTAACTGAAGATGCTACAATAGCTAGAAATAGCCGGGTGGTGGTGGCACACACCTTTTATCCCAGCACTTGGGAGGCAAAGACAGGTGGATCTCTGTGAGTTCGAGATCTCTGTGAGCTCTGTGGTCTACAAGAGCTAGTTCCAGGACAGTCTCCAAAATTATACAGAGAAACCCTGCCTCAAAAAAACAAAACAAAACAAAATGCTAGAAACATAGATACCATTTAATAACTTCAGAATCATTTCTTTAAAAACTTTCAAGTACATTTTGGAAAATAATCATATTTTGTGCATATGTGATGTATCAAATAATGTCTTTTTGTATGTGAATTAAAAATTTCATTGCACCTTTTAATTAAAAATAACTTTATTTTATTATAAAAGCAATTTATGTAACTCAGATATTTCAGCATGGTTTTACTATCCAAGAGAGAACTTTTTCTCCAGAGAAATACATTTCTTGGTTTATAATAAGATCAATGAAAAAAATTTAAATGTACTATTATAACATAGTTATCACTCTTACACACACATGTATTTATGCTCTACAAATTTAACTTAATACTACGGACATGAGGCTTAGGAGTCAAGCCACCTACACAGCTAGCAGAACACAGAACATATATGACATTCTGATTAAATACATGCAAAATCCTCACACACAATAAATAGCTTCATAAAAATAGCAGGAGTGTACTTTAATGCAGAAAGCAGCCTGTACCACAAGAACAAAACCCTTGTAGTACAGCATGCTGCAAGCAATCAAGGGAAAACTGCCTACACTGAGCAGAACAAGGAGCCTCCCTCCAGGTGATGTGCATATGAAGAGAGCTGCAAGTCAGGAGACACTGAACTGCCTGCAGTTCACCACATCCTGCTTAGGTAACCGTCACCAGTATTGTCTGAAATATAAAAGAACCATGTAGAAAAAGCATTTCATGACTTTTCTTGCTACTATTTTTCTGCCCAACAAGTGAGCATTTCAAGTGAAAAGGAAAAGAAACAAAAATAAAATGAAAAAACACTAGGTTCTACTTGTAAGGTACAATACACTTTGTGGCTTCTGCATTCTTCTTCAGGGATAACACAACAGAAGCGCATTTATAGTGACTGTGTGTGCACATCTGACACACGGAGATCTAGGAACAGCAATCTGATTCATCTGAAAGGGCCATCGACTCACTGATGCACAGAGGCCATGTGCATCTGTCAAGTGTCATGAGAGACCAGCTGATCACAGTAGTGACAGCTAGAACAGAGGCATCCATCGTAGGACCACTGCTTATAGTCATAGCCACGGCTTTCCCAGACATCACATCAATGAGACAGATGCAAGGGCCATGTCTGCCTCTGCCTATTTTGAAATTAAAAAAAAATATCTTGAAAATTTTTCAAGAAGTCATCTTTCTTTCCTGGTGGGATGGATATGGTCCCACCTAGCCTTCATTTCCAACCCCTCAGGGGGCACTGAATCAGTCCTCTCAGGCTCTGTGAGGCACAAGTCTCAGAGAGAAAAGATAGTAGCTACAAGAGAATGTAAAGTCTGGTCCCCTTTGGGGAAGTCTGTTATCCAGACCCTGCACCAAAGAGTATGGAAGAAGAAAAACTTATTTAAATAAAAAGGGAGCAATGAACACTACTCTTCTGCGGCCAGAGACGAGGCACTTCAGAACTGAGTTCCTGACACCCTCCATTTACCTGGTAATATATCTTACTTGCCACATTGCAAGAGGTGACTGCTAGCACTCATATTGCACTTCAGCCCGCTCACCCTCAACAGATCCAACAAGCAGCTCTCACCGAGCAGTACGGCCTTCTTGAAGTTCATCCTCACCTAAAAACCAGTTCTAAAGCAATGTATTCACATGTTAGGCCAATCTCCAGCTAAGGATGCAGGCAGTCATAGGTAGAATATTGAATGCCTAAGTAGAATAGCATTTGCAAACTTGGGTCAAAAGAGGTAAGAACTAACTCCTTCAGACTGTTAAGGATTTTTGAGGCACAGTGTAGTAATAATCCCATTAGGCATGAGGGGAAGAAATGCAGTCAAGGTTTTTCCAGGCCTCACTTCTGATAGCCTCAAATGAGAAGTTCCCACTTAATTTCCTGTTCTAGCCTCAGTGATGCTGGCATCCCAGGCTTTTTAGTAGATCCAGTTCCTCGGGGAGGTCTGACCTCAGCCTCACACCATCAGGAGAGCAATGTGAGGGATGCCATTGAGGGGCGTCTATGCTCAGCCAGCACATTCTCCACTTCCTAGGAGTCAGAAAGAGAAGCAAAGCCATTATACCACAGCCAAATGATGAACAGACATGTGAGAAGAATCCACCCCCAACCCTACAAGCGTTTGTTACCTCATCCCCACATCCAAACACATGTGAGGACATACTGGTGTGCCTGTGCACACCTTGACCCTGGGGACTCAGATAAACTTTAATGGCTTAGCTGTTGAACAGATTCTTTCCCAGAGCAGCTGACCTTATGACAGTAATAGAGTACCTGTCTGTTTCAGAACTGGACTCTAAGTTGCATATCTAAGAAAGAAAGCAGAGGTGGGTTGGGACTCTGTAGGCTGCATCAGCCAAGAGACCTCCACCCCCAGCACGCACGCGCGCGCGCGCACACACACACACACACACACACACACACACACACACACACACACACACACACACCAGTAGCAATGAAATTACAGTATATAGCTTCTGAGGAGGGTCCCAACTGTTATGGTTACCCCAATCCACCCTGAAATCGGTAGCCATAAACTGGTATTTGTTTAATTATTTCCCTTAGAAAGCTTGTTTCTAAAGTATTAAATGTACCTATGGATCCAATCACCTAGTGATCTTGTTAAAATCATGGTTTAGTAAGTTTTGGAAGCCTCTAATTCTGAATTACTAATGAGCTCTTGGTCCTTGCTAGCACAATGTGGGATAAGGCAAGAAAACAGTGGATACCCATCAGTATCTTCTGCTCCAGGAGATGGTAAGTTCCATCTCATACCATTGGCTGAAGTCTGCTTGGAAACAGGCAGGATGTATTTTAGAAACAACTGCTTGGTAAATTCTTAAAGATTTACCATATTTTTCTTTACAATGGATAACAAAAGTTATGTGTAGTGTGGCCTATTATACTTCTTAATTCTTGCACAGGTACCAGAAGGTGCAAGTTACTGACAACTAAAGTTGATGCACTACCAACAATGTCCTTCACACCTTCCCCCAGAAGGTGGTGGAAAAGAGCCATGCCTATGACCCTGTACTCCAGGCTTTCTGAACTCCCACTGGAATGCTAAGTCTCACTTGTCAAGTATGAGGCAATTTTAGAAGACAGTAGATGGGAACAACAGCTCAAAATACAAATCAAATTAATAATAATAACAATAATAATAAAAACAGAAGTCTTCTGATAAGATCAAGTTACTCAATGACTTTATTAACCCATTCTACACAGGCCTGCACATAAAACACATTTCAAATACAATTATATACACTTTAAAAGGACCCAATGCAATATTTCATTATTAATACCATGAAATAAATCAAAATGCTACAAAGGATTGACATCCCCACTTTCAGCAGGGCTGTGCCTAAGAAATCTGCAATAAAATTCTGTTACTGGGCTTCCCAAGTTCAGCCCATTTCCACCCAAACCAGCAGTGCTCAGCCCCTCTCTATATCACATGCCCCATTTGTGATAGGCCCTTTGCTTTTGCCACAGGAAAGCCACCTGAGTAAGCTGACCTTGTTGCTTCAACAACAACAGAAAAACTACACACAATTCAGAAGTTTCTTTAAAGAGTGAGTTGCATGTGTATTAGTCACATACCCAGTGAAAGGCTTATGGAAACACTCTTGAGATCAGTATTTGGATGCACATCTCCCTTTGTATAAGATTAAGGCCAAACACACAGCAGACTAAAAACAGCAGCATTCTCAGTGAGAACTGGAGCCCATGACAGGGTTCAGAAATGGATGGCAAAAGGGAAGTCCTGCCCTGAAGCAATGGACTGGATGAAATAACTTCAAGTAAAGTCACAACTTTACTGTTATTGTGACTAGCCATCACCTTAGCTAGGATCACAAGATGCCACACAAGTAACCTACAATATCACCTTTTGAAAAATAATGAGAAGTTGTTCACTATTACACAATAATTATCTATGAAAAGTCATAGTGTACAGAACTTCTCCATAAAGAAAACATAAAATATTCAATTCCTTTTTTGAAGAACATGTACAAAAAGCAAGGGATAATAGTAATATAAACAGACTACCAATCAGGACAATGAGAAATGAGAGACAGTTGGCAAAAAGACCTGTCTTCTGGACCCTAGAAAATGAAATTCTCAGTCACACTTCAGATCTGTGTAGGGAAAAGTTGAATTCTTGTATAGCAGTCCTGCTACCTGGCTCAACTGTTAATAGTTTTAAAATGAAAATGCTTTGAAACACAAGCCAAAATAAATACAAGGAAAATTGGGTAATTTACTATAATTTCAACAAATACAACATTCCTCTGAGACTGGTAAGGCAGTGGGATGTGCATGAAACCCCATCACTCAGAGCTGCCTCAGGTACCTGCCATGCTTCCCTGTGGTGGTATCTTGTCTGTAAACCTGTAACAATGGCCATGCCCTTTTGGCATGGTTAAAGGTGGGGACATGACCGTTTCAGGTAGAGGAGGGGGGGAGACCAAAGCTCCTTAGGGTAGTGGAGAGCCTGGAGAGGCAGGGTCTGCATCCTTGGAGCAGGAACACCGAGACAGTTACTTATTGTTATCTCTGTAAGTTCATCCTCAATAAACACCTAACCTATTTATCATTCATCTTGGGTTTGGTGAACTGGTTATAATTCCTCACCTTCTACTGGCACCCAACATGGGGCATGAACGACCCTGGGATTAAGAGTCCCATGCTCTACTTCCCCTGTTCATTGGCCACTCCCAGCACTAAGGAACTTTTCTGGAACCCAGATCAGGATTATCCCAGAAGATCATCATTCAGACTTATTCCCTAACAGTTACCCTGTTTGCTTAAATGGGGTGCCTGGAGATCAACTGTGGATTTCTAAGAGGATTACTCACTCAGATCCTTGCCTGAAATATTCAACCATTTGGTCCAGGAACACACATGCTGCTTCCCTAACTTGACTTCTTAGGACTCAGGAAGAGTGGTAAGCACACAGCATAATGCATATCTAAAAACAAATGAAATGGTTCCTTTACCAATGATCAGTAAGTGCTAAATTCTAGTTTGGAAAGAAGATAGGCCAGTAGTGGTTCTCTAAATCTCCTTTACATTCTTCTCTCAAATCCATTTCCTGACTTTCTCATCCAGTAGTAGTTGTTTTGTTTTCCCCAGTACTGGGGATTGAACCCAGGGCCTCCTATATGCTAAGCAAGTACTCTACCACTGAGCTACATTTCCAGCACCCCTCCCACCATTCTTCGGAGTTTCATCTTCCATTCAGCTTTGAGTTTAAAATAAATAAATAACATACATACAGAATATTACGTTCTCTTCTATTTTACACAGGTATAATTCACATAAGTAGATTCAAGCCTTCACCTATACCCTCCATAACAAAACTGAAAGCCTCAATACAGGGCACCACAAGTCACCATTTGTAAGCTTGTTACACAGACACACAGCAAGGTAATTTCCCACCCATAAGTAACAAAGGGAAAGGGGGAAAATGAGAAGTGGAACTTCCCTTAACTCTGGAATAAGCACTTTCCACTCTGCTTCTCCTGCTCAGCTCCTCTGAAGGATCTTGCTCTAAAAGGTGAAGGATGTTGAAACCCCTGCTGCTTTTCAGCTCCAACTTCCACTCCTTGTTATCCAAGGATAATAAAACTACCTCAGCTCTTCTTATACAAGAAGTGAACTAACACAGGAAACTAGAAGAGTGAGTATAGACTGAGAGTCAGAATGATCATCCAGTGAACCCCTTTACAGATGGTATTTACAACAGGCTAGCTCAGTTCCAGGTGGTCAGCCAAGTCTCCTCTTATAACCTTAGCCATTGGATCAGGGTTCTTCCTCCTCCCACTCAATCTCTCTGAATTACTCTTACCTGGCAGCAGAAGAAAGGACTGAACAGCAATTTAGAACAGAGCTGCTAATAACTACAGTAGACAAGGGAATAATGCAAAAGTACCAGACATACTGCCCAGGCCTCATCTCATCCTCACACTGTGAGGAGAGGATATCTCAAACCTTTGTGGGTCTCACAGCCACAGAATAAAAAAACAGTCAGAAGACAGGCTATACTCTATCCAGCGTCAGCTCTTCTAGACTGTTTGATTCTTTGGAAATATTCATTTATCAGTTACATCTTCTGTCTTTTTTAATTTTATTTTTAATATTTCATACATGAGTAGTATTCTGGCCCTCCTGGTCCCCATCCAACTCCTCCAAAATTTCCCCTACTCTTTCAAGTTCATAATCTCTTCTTCTAGTTATTGTTGTATTCATATACATATATACACATATGTATGAATAAAAAACCTACTCTAGATGAAGAGCCAACAGCAATCAATGGCTGCTGAGAGAGGGAGACTTTGTCTTCTCCAGGAATAAGACCCTGATAGGTTACCTAATCCTAATTGGTCAGCCCTAAACACACATATATGTTTGTAATCTCCAGGCTAAGGAAATTGAAAAAAAAATTGTCTTTTTGCATGTTTCCTTACCAAGGCCAATGCCCATAAACAAAGGTCAAGAGGGGAAAATGAATACTACCTAAAAGAAGTTCCCACTTTCTTTGTCTTGGATGTTTCAAGAACCTAGGCAGCCTGTGAAACTGGCTTAAGTATTCTATATGGGATGGAAGGGTAGAGGCCTCTAGACCAGAAGTCAGCAGCCTGTAATGATGACCTCCATCAGTCCACGTGCTCTGTCTCTATCACCTTGCATGAGTTCTCAGTGTGGATCCAAGGATATGTGTTTAAGTGCAGTAATGCTGCACATTCCCCTGCAATGCCAAGGGAAAAGATGGAACCAGAACCCTGAATACCTTTCTAACAAAGCAGCCTGTGTTCAGCCCCAGCATCAGAACCAAGAATTCAGAATTCCCAGTCTGATACATACTTTGTCTAAGATACCAATATACTGACATAATTTCTTACAGCTTCATAAAGTGGGATCCTAAAAAAAGATTTAACTTTAGTTTTACAGGTTGTATTTGTGTGTCTATGTGTATATGAGCTACATATATGAAAGTACCTGGGGATCCCAGAAGAGAGCATCAGATCCCCTGGAGCTAGAGTTACATGAATGCTAGGAGACAAGCTCTGGACCTCTGGAAGAGCAGCAAGTGCTCTTAATGGCTTGAGACATCTCTCCATCCCCTCAAGTGGCCTTATTGACCTGGAACTGACTCTTAGTGGGTTGACCACTAAGGACACAATTTAAACACCCAATTATCTAGGCTCCAATCCCAGAGATTTTAAGGCAGTACTCAGCCTGACTCATGGGAACCCCAGGCATGTATATATTTCAAAAATTATACAGCACAGTCTAAGGACTGTTTCTGGATAAGAACCATGCAAAAAGCTTTCTGTCACAAGACAAAGTCTCATAGAAAATTGCTAACCTTCTCTCACCAGTTGGCCCCACATGACAAACTGAGAGGTAAGGAGTCACCTGTCTCTTCTGAAAAATCTCCTGAGACCTTTAAAACTGTCCCTTAGAAGAGGGGACATGAGTGGACTGGTATTGAGCTCAGAGGACAAGACCCTGGGCCAATGCAGAGAGAATCACCTTAAAGCAAACAATAGATACACATATAAACTTCCAAGAGCCAAACCTCAGGAGACTCCTTGGAATACTGAGATAGTTTCTCAATATAAACAGAACTCCCCAATAAGAGAGGTTAAATTCATCATCAAAATTTTATGCTCAAAAAGTAATTTTCATGTAAAAACTTGGCTTAAGGAAACTATTCTAAAAAGTATTGCTAAGAAATGAGTGGCTTTACTGAATTTATTAACCACCCTTTTGCCTGGAGAAATTCAGGGCTTAATGGTGGATCCTGGTGCTTTTAAACAGCCCCAAAGGTCACGTGCGACAGGAAAGCTACTGGAACAGCCAAGAAACTGAGAGCCACAGGACAAAAAGTCTGAACTGGGAATTTGTAAGAACTAGACTTCACCCTATCCACAGCCCCACTCCACAGCCAGCAAAGGACTGTCTGGCTCCTTGCATTGGTAACACAAATCAAAACATGTCCACATCCTTAGAGCCAGCTCCCCAGTACTACAAAAACTTAGGATTGTTTCTCGTGAAAAGAGGTGAGAGCTCTCACCCTATGTCCACTTGCAAAGTCCAGGGCTTTCTGTGGATGTTCTGTAGCCTGGGCTGACCCTTGCAGGACCTGGCTGGAGAGGAAGGGAGAAGGGAAGGGAAAAGACTCTCCCAGTGCAGATGCAGACCCATTTGCAGGCAGCACCAATAAGGCTTAGGCTCCTATCAACCATCCCTTACTTTACAATACCACAATGCCATGCATCAAACCAGACAACCCAAAGAAGCTAGAAGACATGAAAGTTAAGTAAGGAGTGTAACGACAGATTGAAAGGATATAGGTGAAGGACAAATGGGTTTCTGTATCTCCCTCTATTCAGCACTCCCCCCAAATTACCCTCCACCCACCCCCACACACACTTCACAGAGACATTAGTGGATCAGACATGAGGAAACAGAAGAACCAAGTCCATGACTCATGCTTGGCTCCTCTTCCTTCAGACCATCCCATCTGGGAAGCTGTCCTAAAAAGACCCAACTTGCCATCTTGCCCCCGGCTGAGGTGTTTACACTAGAGAATGGCTAAGGCTGCTCTGCACACGCATGAGCTTATATTCCATGTTCAGATTAATGTTGGGACAGGAGTGGGGTAAAGTTAAATGAATTCTTGGTTGATTAGTGGCAAGGGCAAGAGGCCAAAGCTGGAGGGAAACACACAATTACACCACCGGAATGCTGACTTGGGTCTTCGGCTGGTCCGCCCCTTCTTGCATGTCCAGGGCACGGAGAGGGCTGAGGGGCTTGAGGGGCCGGCTCCCAACACTGTAATTTCTTGGACGCCTTATTGTGTTCGAACTGGACAGAGGCGTAAAGCTGTTCCTTCTCATCCTTACAGGGGTTTGGTTCTTGGGGAAGTTGTGCTGATTGGAAATGGAGGGACACCACATACATGAAAGCCATACCAAAACCTTACCCACAGAGGTCAAATAATGCTCCTGAGCATAACCGCTCTTCCTCCTGCTTCTCTATGCACAGGACAGAGTGGGGCAGAGTCTGGGCCCATAGCCCCAGGGGAATAAAAGGGGAAGATCCCTGGGCACATTGAAGAGCAGTAAAGGAGACAACAAAGGTGTCTGCTTAAGACCATACAGGTTGCCAAGACCAAACCAAGGAGCTGACCTGCATCTGCTGACTATACTGGCAATGACCCCTGGGCCCTGCTTTGTAAATGGAGACTTCTCTGGGGGTACAGCAAGGGAATTCATACATTTCACTTCAGCCAAACACTTTCTATACTGAACTCAATACCCAGGAGGTAACTAACTTTCAAGGCTAATATTCATGAAAGAAATACTCATTTAAAGAACTAAAAATCCCTACATCTCTCCCTCTTGGAAGTAAGGAGACCACTGCAGGCCATGAATTCTGGCTTTGCTTGATTTTGTACATAAAAGAAACCCAAGTCTCTCAATAACAAAGATTCAGAGATTCAAGGTGAGCAGGAAATACTTACAGTTGGCTTATCACGATGTGTGTTCACAGCCTCCACATTGAGTTTAATTGTTTCCACTTTGCAACCTGAAAAAAAAAAAAAAAAAAAAAAAAAAAAAACAGGAAAGAAAAGCTGTCGTAGCCAAGCATGGTGGCTCACTCCTGAAATCCCAGCATTTGGAGGCTGAGGCAGGTGAACTGTCATGAGTTCCACACTACCCAGAGTTCCAGGCTAGACCCAATTAATCCCAACAAGCAAAACAAAATAAAACCAAGCACAAGAGATAAATAACCAACAAAAGGGGGTAGCAGTAGGGAGGAGGAGGAAGAGAAAAAAGCCACCAAGAAGTAGCTCAAAGAAAACTCTGGTCCCAGCATGATCAAGTATACACTGGACCATATGTGTACTCTCAAACAGACACGGGTGCATATGCTTTTTGCAAGTGGAAGCTACTAACACAACATCCCTGCTACACAGAGAGTGTTCCTCAGTCCCCACCTCTCACCAACTCAAGCTCATAGTTACCATAGGCCACAGGTGTAAGTTTGAAGATGGTATGGAGAGGACACCTCAAGTATGGTAACTCATCTGAAAGAAAAAAGACCTGGTGAAGAAAGTCTTAGTATTATAGAATAGGGTCATTTGAGAACAAGAGAATCTAAGGGGCTCATGAGCTTTCTTTATCCTGACCATCACCTAGAAGCACGGCTTCTCCACTAATCTCAGCAAACTGGCCATTTCAAAGAAGTCCCAAGCTACTGAGTGGTAAGGAAGGAAATAAGGTCAATGCAGATCTGAAATGCAAGAAAAAAGGAAGAGGTTCTGAAGCCAAGGTCTCCTGTAAAGGAAGACTATGGCCTTCCTGAGCACTCAAAAGCAATCAAAGGCTTCAAGTGGCCTGAGGACTAGAGAAAGACAGGCCAGAGTAGCACTGCTTTCCTAAAACAACTGCTCGACTCCCAACATGAAGGATGAAGACAGTTCTAATAAACCATCTGCAATAACTAGACAGACAAACTGGACTATCCAACCATCCACCTTGATGCTGCCAATAATGTCAGCTGGAGCTGGCCCTTTAGGCAAATCAGGCAGTGTTAAATCAGCCATCCTCCACTGCTGGCTTTTGTAGCAGCAGACTGAAGTGAGTAAGTGGTTGATCAATGGCTGCTGGGAGCGCCACACTGCAGCCTGAAGAATGTACTCTAATATGAGTGGAAGAAAAGGAGAGCCAGTGGTCAGGAATCCTGGTACCACTGAGTCCAGCCTAGGCCCTGTGTGTGCTTATCCCCTCCCCCATCCCTTCCCTCAAACAGTACCTGCGCCTTTATCCAGGAAGTAGGCCAGGAGGCAGCGCATGACAGCTTGGTGGGAGATGACGAGGATGTTGCCCTGACGCTCCAGCTCCATGATGACAGGCTCCAGTCGCTGCACCAGGTCCTGGTATGACTTCAGGGGAAGTAAGGAGAGCTGGTAAGAGGCCAGGTGCATGCTAGCAGCCAAGTTGGTGGCTAAGTTCCAGAATCAAGAGACTATTCTGGGAGGCATAGTGCCTCTATGTTGCCTAACTACCCAACCCTGGTTTCCTAAGAAAAATCAGATCTTTCAAAAGCAATACTTAGATCAAAAACCACAGTTCAAGAAATGCACATATGAATTCAATTTATTTCTCTTTTCTTCACAGACATTAATAGGCAGTGTGTAGAGCAACAAAAGAGTTCTACAAGTTTCTGGAACTTCTGCCATTACATTTCATTTACCTTTGGGTAGGAAGTCATTTCAATAAGAATAAGTGCCTAAAACATGGTAAGTAAGTAACTCATGCCCCATACTTACTTGGTGACTCTATCTGCTTGTAGGAATGGAGTAGAGGAAATAGAATGAAAAAAGTAATATCATGTTCATTCTATAACATTTCAACACAAAAGGTTGTGTCCCCTAAAGATCTTAAAAACCTAACAAAATGTAAAGCACTGGCTGTCTAAGCTGAATTAAACAGTATAACCAAAGGCAGGATAACTAGGGATTCCTAGGTCATTCTTTCTCATCCCCTGAAGAAGAGCACCCAGCAAAGCACTAGGCAGCAAGTTCAAGTGAACGAAGTCTCACCTCCCCACCAGGATAGCGATACAGGTACTTCTCTTGATCTCGAAGTGCAAATTCCTCGGGGTACCGTTTCTCAATCTCTGAATATGTCATCTCCTCACACACGCCCTGCAAAGGCCACACCAGCATCAGGATGTGGGCTACCCTACACTCTCCCCATCCCAGATAAGGACGATGACACTGAAGAACACCAGTGCCTCACTATGTGTGGAGACCATGTGCTGTGTCCTTCTGTGTATTGCACCTGTCTGTGGCCAGGAAATCAGATGTCAAGGTGCCATCGACAGGAGGTACTTCAGAAAGGGGCAGTTTCTCTAGCTTGAGCTGCCACTCTAACCAACTACTACAAGGGAGATCACAGCTCAGCAAGAATCTGCAGACAACTGATGGGGAATGTACTGTGTATGCTTATCTTATTGATTGTTAAATAAAATACTGTTTGGCCAATGAGACAGGAAATTAGACAGGACTAGGAGTCAAAAAGGATTCTGGGAAATGTAGTAGAGAAGTGCTGATCCAGGCAGGAAGTGACATAGCAAGGAGACTCATATTTAAAGAAGGAGAAACAGGAAGGGCCCTCTTTTCCCCTCCGCTCCTGCTCCAGCGGCACAATGTGATCCACCAGCAAGGAGGGATGCCAGTAAGGCGTCCGATAAGATAAGTCTTATAAAATATATAGGTTTATGATAGTTAAGACTGAGCTAACAGATGAGAATCCTAGTCATTGACCAAGCAGCTTTGAACCTAATACAAGTTTCTGTGTATTCATTTGGGCCCTAACTCAGGTAGGCGGCTGGTGTAAAGCTCACTCGTGGCGGCGGGGCTCAGGCGGCTTTTAGCGGAAAGATTTATCATAACAGACAACAGGAGCAGGAATCAGAGGAGGGGAAACTGAGGGAAAGAGAAACCTTATGGGATGAATAAAAGGGTAGGGAAGGATGGAAAGAGAAGCATCTAAGCTGGGCATGGTGGCTCGTGCCTGTCAGCTCAATATTTGGGATGCTAAGGCAGGCAGACATGAGTTCCTGGCCAACCTGGGCTAGAGTGAGCCCTGGTATCAATAAAACCAAAAGAAATGTATAATTGGATTAAGAGGCTAAAGAATGCCAAAAAAAATTGGGGAAAGACTTTCCCAGAATTGCTGGCTGAATTATCAAAGCAAGTCTTATAGAGCTGAGGGATTAGGAATTTCCCTTTTCCAAGGAAGGAAACAAAATGAGTCCTTGTTAGCTCCACTCTCCTCAAACACCATTGGCTCAGTTACAGACTGGCTTGTGTCTCTCCTTGGGTTCAGGTACAGGAGCAGCCAGGAAGCTCTGATGAGGAGGACTTAACCCTTTCTTGTCTAACCTCTGAAATGGTCAGATTCAGATTCCTCAGTTTCTAGTTGATGATTCTAGTTTTCTAACTCACCCAGATTATAACTTTTGAGAGTGTCAATCAGAAATGCCTACTCACAGCATCAATCTCATTTAGGATCTTCCACTGCTCATAGGTCACCCCAAGGGACTCAGCAGTCTGAATAGTCCTCTTCAACTGGCTTGTCCACACTTTGAGGTCCTGGATCTCCTGTTCCTCCAGAAACTTCTTCAGAGCCTGAGAAAACTGGGGTTTGGAAATAAAAGCTAAACAAAGAAAATCCACCACACCACACACACATCATACACACAGAAACTACTAGCCATGGTCAAACTATAAACCCAAGAGGAAATGAAATTCAGCTGAAATTCTGCTTACATCACAAATCATGCTCAATAATTTCCTGATGGCTGAATGCTCTCAAGTGACCCATAATTTAATCCAGAGTTAGGAACAGTAAGCAGGGAACATCCTTAGCACTTGCCTGGCTATGTGAAGCCACAACCTAAGCCCAGATGGGATTTAAGCAGGAGGGGATAAAACAGATGACCTCCACATTCTAATTCTAAGCTAAGGAAATCCAGCCTGCTGGCTACTCACCTGCTTTCCTCGAAGTGAAAGGCCAGAGTCACCCCCAATCTTTCCCAAAAGATTGAAGTCGCTCTCTCCATGCCGGCAAAGGTAGATGGTGCGAGGCTGGACATGGATATTCATAAGGTAGTAGACAATTTTACTCTGGATGTAGTCCTGGACTCTGTTGACCAGAAATCTCTGACCTACATTTATCACCTTGATGAAAGACAGATCCCTGGGAGAGAGTAGAAAGAAGAAATTTTACAGTCAGAAAATCTGAAACTAGGAGTGTAGTAGGCAGGGGGGACAAGGCTATCAGCACCTAGTGACAATCCCAGCACTTAGGAGGCTAAGGAGAAAGGGACTTGGGTTTGACCCTGACTCAAGACAAATGAGCAAACGAAAAGTATAGGGAGAATGATCTGTATATTGACTCACAGGCCCTATCAGCTCTTCCTTCTCTCCCCGTCACTGCCACATTTATAGAACAACCAAATGTTAAAAGATAGATTACGGGCTGGAAAGATAGCTCAGAGGTTAAGAGCACTGATCGCTCTTCCAACGGTCCAGAGTTCAATTCCCAGCAACCACATGGTAGCTTACAACCATCTATAATGACATCTGGTGCCCTCTTCTGGCCTGCAGACATATAGGCCAGAATACTGCGTACATAATAAATAAATCTTTAAAAAGAAAAAAAGATAGATTACATCTTCAAACTAGGTTGGCATATGATTTATCGAACTTAAAGTAAGTATGTACTGTCTTCTTGGTATCTATCCTGTGCCATGCCATATGTGTAAGTGTGAAAAACAGAATTCAGGGCTGGACTAAGTGACTTGAAGATTTTGCTAAATTCAAAATTGGTGAGACACATGGGTCCCACATAACGTGGTCAAAATCTAGACAGAGCATGACAACTCAGGGGGAGGGGAGGAAAAATCAGGGTGCCTACTGCACCTTGCGTCACCTAATCAATCTCTCTCAAAGACATTGCCACTATTTGCTTTGTAGCCATAGGATTTTTCTTAAAATTAAAGTAATAAGAGCTTATTCAAAATAATGACCAGGAGGAAAATATACAATAAGGGAAATCACGACCCACCACCAGAGATAAAAATCTATAAACATACATACTGATAAACATAAATATCCCTCTAGAAAGCTTTTCTACTCAGGACATAAAGAGACTTAAGGTTATCTCCTTACGCAACATCTAGGGCAGTGCCTTTCAACCACTTTATGAAAATGCTTCTAAATACATATTCCGAGAAATCCATTTGAAGAAAGTGAAAAAGTTCAAGACATTAATGAGATAACTGTAGTGATTTAACATTTCATGATGTACAGTTGTGATGGCTGGTTTTGATAGTCATCTTGACTGGATTAAGAAATACCTAGGGCACTAGAGACACACCTCTGGTTATGTCTGTGACAGTGTTCCCACAGAAGACTAAATAAGGGAGGAACTTTCACCCTGACTGTAGACAGCACCATCTCATGGTCTATAGGGTCCTGAACTTAACAAAGAGAAAAAAAAAAAAAAATGGAGCGAGACATGGAGCCTCACACCTGTAATCTCAGCACTAGGGTTGCCCTGAGCTCAAGGCTATCCTAGGATACACAGTGAGACCTTGACTCAAAAAATGGGGTTGGAGGAGGGAGAAAGCCAGATGAGCACAGCTTTTCTGCCTCTTGAGCCTCTGAGATGTGAGCAAGCAGCTGCCTTCCACCACCATGGGTGGGATCCAGTCCTGTTCCCATGCTCTCCCTACCATGGTGGCTGTACCTGCTGAACACTAAGCCAAAACTAACTCCTCCTCCCAGAGTTCCTTACGTCAAGTGTTCTATCGTGATGATGAGAAAACCAGTGGATATAACATTGTTTCATCAAAATACAATCCCAGAATTATGGAAGTAGAAGCAGAAGGGTCAAGGAGTTAAAGGTCATTCTCTGTTATATAGTAAGTTAAAGGCCAGCATGGACTCCTTGAGACTGTCTCAAAAACTCAAAACAAAACACACTATTTCATAAGGCAATGTTCCCACAGGTTTCCAAATATATACTGCCTTTCTGCAACATGGACTTAACATTTTACTATACCCCACACCAGGCAAATCAATCTGTATTCTATGCCTCACTGCCATAAGACATTACCAGCCATGATGGCTAACACTGATCAGACATTTGTCCTTCAGTCAGTGTCCCTGGGTTTATATGATACATATGCATATTAAAATACAAATTATATATGATGAACTTCAAAATCGAGGAGACTAATGATGGATGCATCTGAGGGATATTCAACAGCATTCTAGTTCAGATTTCCTAAATCTGGAGCAGTGCTTCTTGAGTAGAGATGATTTGGGTTCCTAGGAGGCATTTGGTAATATTTGAAAGCATTTTCCTTTTCACAGCTTGGAGGTGTTCCTGGTACCTAGTGGACAGAGGCCAAGGAGACTGCTAAGCATATTAGAATATGCAGAGTAGCCCCTTCAACAAAGAATCCCATAGTTGAAAATGTCACTAATGTTTAGGTGGAAAACCTTGTTCCAGAGCAGTGGTTCTCAACCTTCCTAATGCTGAGACCCGTTAATACAGTTCCTCATGTTGTAACCTCCAAACATAAAATTTTTGTTGCTTCTCTGCTTCATAACTGTAATTTTTCTAGTTATGAATCATAATGTAGGATCTGACATACAAGATATGTGATATGCAACACCTGTGACAGGGTCACTCTACCCCCACAGAGGTCCCAACCCACAGGTTGAAAACCAATGCTCTAGAAAACAGGAAAGAAAAACTGAAGATAGGAAAACATGGTTAAATGTGGTTAGGTAAGACATACAACCCATAATGTGTGTGCTGGATAGTTTATATCAACTTAATATAAGCTAAAGTCATCTGAGAGGAGGGAACCTCAATTAAGAAAATGCCTCTGTAACACCAGGATATAGGGCATTTTCTTAATCAATGATTGAGGGGGAAGGGCCAAGCCCATTGTGGTTGGTGCCATCCCTGGGGTGGTGGTACTAGGTTCTATAAGAACACAGGCTGAGCAAGCCATGAGGAGCAAGCCAGTAAGCAGCAGCCCTCCATGTCCTTGGTATCAATCAGCTCCAGCCTCCAGGTTCCTGCCCTGCTTGAGTTGCTGTCCTGACTTCCTTCAACGATGAACTCTAATGTGGAAGTGTAAGCCAAATAAACCCCTCCCTCCCCAGCTTGCTTTCGGTCATGGTGTTTCATCACAGCAATAGTAACCTAACTAAGACACTATCACAATACAAACCTTGTTCTGAGAAATGGCATAAATATCGTAGGTTTAGAGTACCAGAAAGAATAGAGACCAAGATGGAGCAAGACACTCTTCCTCCTGTTTCAATCCTCAGATCATGGGGTTGAACCTTACTTATCATAGTTGTCTGGGTCAAGGGGCTGGTAAGTGACTTTGTAGCACTCAATTCTCTTCAGGAAGTCCTCCATCACATTCTCCCTATTCCTTTCAGGGTAGTCAGGGCTTGACACCTTTACCTCCTGAAATCATAGGAACATATGGACCTGGTCAGAATTCTGTTCTTAACAGTTCTCTACAAATAGCCACTGCTAAAAACAGAAGAAGTCTATAAAAACAGCTTCTCACTAGAGCACTGGCATTCCCCATTCACTAACACTCTCATCCTGTCCTGTGACCCTGGCAACCAAGAAAGGGAAGACAACTGGAGAGTCATATGCCTGCCTTTGGCCAAAGGACAGAGGAAGTCATGCAGCTAATGCTGCTTCTGAGCCCTGAGCCCTAAGCCCTTTATGTACTTGCCTATGAACACAGAATGGGCTCCAATTTTCCCCTACTGCTTCTCAGAATAGGGTATGTGTCCCAGTACTTGACTTAGGAATCACTGCTTCTTCCTCAAATAAGGTTAATTCCAGCTCCTATGGTGTGAAGGCACCTCTAGGAGAGCATACAAAGATGCCTACTTAGCACAGAACAAAACAACCTGTCCAGGGAGTACTGTCTGGTGCTGTGCCCCACAGGGCATAGAAGTGCAATATTCAATGCTGATCAGAACATTAGACAACTACTGAATAAATAACCTCCCTATAAGGTGACTGAACAGGACAAAAAGAACTCTAATCTGGTATAATATTTAGGTTTCACTATTAGATAATATCAGAGCACAAAGCCAGGACTCCCACAGTCTAAGTTGTTCCCCATTCAACAACTCATTTTTATTCCTCACAGGCCCAGGTCCTTGTCCCAAGACAAGAGCATAAAGGTACAAAATGCTCTCAGATAAAGAAGACCTCTGTTTGCTTCCTTCTTTCACTACCCAGAGTCCCCCCCCCACACACACACACACAGACACTGAGAAAGACAGAGACAGAGAGACTGAGACTGACTGACTACAGGTGACAGGGGCAACACTCACCAGAATATTGGCAGCAATGACATCAGGATCATCACAGACAGATTCCACAAAGAATACCTAGCCATGGAGCAAAGACATGATAAACATGTCAAAAATGTCAGATTGTTAACTGAAAGCACATACTCACCTACTCCACCCAGCTACCCCATCTTCAGGATTTCCTTCATGAAGTGGCCTTTAAGGCCTCTTCCTTTAAAAACAGATCTTACCGCATCCCCTGGCCCTTACAGGCTAAATAAAAGTCAGAGAAAGGATCTAAACAAAAAAACTCAAGGATAAGGCATATGCCCCACATGGACAAAATCAGATATCCTAATCTTGTGCTCATCGGAGTCTTAGGGATCTGCATTCCCATCTCTCCAACCTAGCTCCCCACCTCCACTCATCCCTTTTCTTCCAACATAGCATCAGAGCCCACCTTGAAGGCATTCTGCTCTGCAAAGTTCAAAATCATGTCCCTCCTCTCCCGAGTGGTATTGGTAGCATCAAACACCTAGGCAGAAAGCATACAAAGTACATGAGTGGGAAGACAAAAATGAAACGACCCCAAGGCCAACTCCAGGTGGGGTTGAGTAACCAGGATGCTGGAAGAGTGTAGATGAAGAAGGGGAAGCAGACAAGGCTTACCGCAATCTGCCCACTCTCTTCAGTAAAATAAGCCTTAACATCTTCCAGTGCTACCAGAGCACACTGTCTGCCATGAGAACAAAGGAAATCAGTGAAAAGAGCTAAGATCAAACAAGGCCAGAGACACACATAGTTGTAGGAGTCACTTCCCACTCAATTTCTTTCTGGTTATGTTTCCCCTGATTAAATCTTTCAACTTTTCCAAGAAGTTTACACGCCATCCTACACCTTCCTCACTGTCCCATTTATAGACCTTATACCTCTTCAGGCATCACACAAAAGCATCTTCTAGAGCCCTGTCTGCTACCCACCCAACCCAAACTGATCTGTCAACCTAATCACATCCATTAAAATGTGCCCTCCCCCAAAAATATTTCCAGAGAAAAATGGGACCCTAACACATTCAGTCTCACAACTACCCAAAAACAGTTGACTTAGGTCAGGCCTTAAAAAAAGACTCACTTGCGGATCTTCATAGCTTCTTCATTGTCATGACGAAAGAAGTCATAAGACTTATAGGACTTGACTGCTTCACGCCGATATACCCCAAGATTAAACACTGCAGTAAAAACAATACAATGGCCCCACTAAAGGAGACTTCTTGGCCTAACAGAGTGGCCAGTGGAATGGGGGAAAAAAACACCATATATGTCGGAAACAATACCAAACTAAGACAAGTTGGGCTAAAGATCTGACTTACAAGAGCGTGGGCAGGTCTAAAGCCCACTTCTACCTCCTCAGCTACTGTCTTGCCAGGGTACCATTAAGGTTCAAAACATGACACATGTGACAAGGGTTTTGAGATACCATATTCTCATTTAATTCTGAATATTTCTATCAAAGGCATTCTATCAAAACTAGGATGATCTGCCTAGGCCTGGAGGAGACATGGCTGGGGACAGGAAACATATCCAGTAAATTAGGAAGTATTATAGGACCTCAATGCTAGGTAGACTAAGTCTCTCAGAGGCCTGTGGGAACCCAGAACTAACCAACTCCCTTCCCATTGAATGGCCTGCACCTACCTTTGGTGGGTACCCCAATCCAGTTGAGGTAGCGTGTTAGTTTCTTGGACACATAAGTTTTACCCCGGGCTGGCAAACCAATCATAACAATGAGAGTTGGGGAGTTGGTCATGTAGGAAGCCCATGCTAAAAGAAAATGAAACAGGTAGAGCTTAATGACTACACATCTCCTGAGGTTTATGTACCAGATGAGGAACTTCATAGTCATCATCTAATCTTCATAAACCTACAGGGCAAAGGTCCAGGAAGAGTGAGGAGGCAAAATGAGGCTATATTTGGCATATCCTCTTGAAACAGAGTGAAAGGGTCATGTAGACTTCTGTAAAGTACACACACCCAGTCATTTATTTCCCAAGTCTTCAGAGAGGTTCCCAAGAGGGAAAGAAATACTAGTAAAGATTGGGAAGAGAAAGAATGCCTAACAACATTGTAGCTATGAGTCTATTCTCCCCAAACTAGACTGGCTTTAAAATAGGTCCCACAGAGTGTATCCCTTAAGGATCCCAGGCATCCCTCCAGAGCCCAAGGCAACACTTTGAAGGTCTCTGCAAAAAGAGCCCTGTCTCAAGCTGTTTTGGCCACAACACTGAGGCCATGAACTCCTCCTCCACTTTAATTTCTAAACCAGTGATATCTGGTAGCCAAAGCCTGCAGGATAAAGGGTTGACTAGACTCCATAAAGGTTCCAGATTAAGCACAGGGAGGCCTGTCTGCCTCAACAGCTCATATAAAGGCAAGATGACTGGAAAGCAGAACTGTAGCAGTTGGCGGTGCTGACCTTTCTGAGTAACTAACTTCTCTCAGGAGTGTTTGTTTACAAATATAGGTTTCCCTGGGTTGGTGGGCTTAGAAGGTTAATGACTTGTACAGCACAAAATTAGTCAAGTGTAGACCTGGCATTGGAATCCAGACCTGTGCTACCCAGAAAGTTTTCTCCCTAACAAAAGGCCTTTTTCAGTTTGCTCTCAGAACTGGTTCCTCCCTGAGTACACTGACACAGAGCAAAGATGGAGAAAAGACCCACATTTGTGTATGATCAACCCCTTTCTTGAAGCCAAGACCCAAGCTAAGGTTATCAGGGAAAGACAAGAAAAGGAAAAAACAAAACACCTTGAACTTCTGCTTTCAGCACCCTTTTCCAAAGGAGCCCTGCAACATGTGTCACCTGGTGGTGACAATGCCACTTTGAGGCTAAACATCTTTGAACCTGCAGTGAGGTTGTTCTCACTGTGCCAAAAACAAAGGCACCAGGGCATTTCCCCACATTTGTGCACTAAGGATCTGCACCCTCAAGACCTGATGTCATTATGTCATGTGCATTGCAGTTGTGACACACTTCCCCGTTTGCAGGGATCATGGGAAGAATATCTTAAAAGGGAGGTGTGGCCCACCATGATTTTGGAGGAGAAAGGCACCCACCTAATAGATACTTAAAAAAAACTTGTTCAAAACCAACAGTTCAGAACCTGCTGGATGCCTCCCGGCCTTGAAGACTCCTACTTCAATCTCCTCAGAGTCTTTATTTGTTTAGCTTTGCCAAATAAACTTCGGTTTAAACATCTATTAAATGTCTCTATGAATTCTTTCCTTCAAAAAGAACTAAGAGACCACCTACTAAGAGTTCAACCCCTGTTGCATGGGGGAAACTGCAGACTCTGGACAGGAGCTCCACCAAAATAGGTAATGGAGCAGCATAGGCACTTTTCATCTCTATCCACACAAGGCGCTAAGGGGTAAGAAAACAATACCTTAAAGTCTCTGGGGCATTAGTCCCTGAGCACTGACCCCAGCAGGCAACAGGCCTCTCTCTCCTGGCATCAGGTTCGTGCAGTTAACACACCCCCCCCCCTTCATGTTCTCCAGCCTAATGCATACTCCTCTGGACAATTGACAATTTGGCTCATTAGCTACACTTACAGGCCTCTCTGTCCACATCTTCAGGCCATTAGGCACTTCCCCCAAAGGTGCTGTTTCCCTCCCTGAAGTTTAGAATAAAGCATGCTTAGGAGCTGCTCTGCTCTGAGAGAAACCACGGAGAGGAGGCTGCTCTGTGTTCCCCATGTTGGACAGAGAAAACTAACAACAAAAGAAAACAGGGCTGGGTCACAGGCACTCCATAGCCCTACTCTTCAGCACCACTCCTCTAGCCTCGGCCTAGAGCACATCCAGGCACATGTGCACACACACACATACACATACACACACGCTCGACTGTGCGCACACACACCTGCTATAACCAGGTTTTTATCTGTGAAAATAAAATAAAGCAAAAAAAGAAAAAATAATAATAATACTGGGAAGCTGGTGTCCTATCTGTTAAAAGGAGAAAGCACCACCTGAGTTTGAGTAGAAGGTACTTCACACCAATTGACCTAGAAATACGTAATACCATGTCTTGACAATGGAAAACTGCCCCAACCCTGAAATTCTTTTGTCTTCTTATGCAGAGTTAAACTTGCTTTATCCAGCTTCAATTCATTTTCTCTTTATAAGCATGCTTAGTCAAAATGAGAGCTTGACAGTTTCTTTCACATAAATGGAAAAACTAAATCCCACAGACTTTAAGAGCTTGGCCCACAGGACAACAGAAGAAAGTCAAGGTCAGGCTTCCTGTCCACATTCCTGATCTCATGACTGCCTATTCAGGCTTATCTGCTGGTTCTTGGCCATCACATTAGCAGGGAAAACATAACTGTGTTCTCCAAGCTTATCTGGAAGGATGTCTAGGAGAGTAATGGTTCCTGCTCCTCACCGCCAAGGATTTTTTTTCTATTATATAAACAGACTCAGTATTTTGAATATGCAACCCATAAAGCATTATCATTACTGTTATCTTAATTTTATTCATTGAAAGTTACAAAACCTGATTATCTACTATTGTTTGACTGATAAGCATGAAATAATCAAGTTTAAGAACAATACTTAAACACTAAAAAAACTGAGGTTTTTGTCAAGCAGTGCAGCCTTAGTCGGTAATAACCAACCTCCAGCAAACACATCTCTTGAGGCCCCGAAACTTCAAAGAACATATTACCACATGGCTGAGGACTTCCACTGGGACTATCATGTTCCTTATACTTCTCTAAGAAATGCTGTTGACTTGAGTGTACAGAAATATAAAGGTGTTCACTGAAGTGTTCTTCATGATAGTGAAGAATTTCAAACAATTACTGGATGAGATTAATACAATGTAGAAAGAGGTCAATATGGATTTGCCAACAGGAAAAAAAAAATAAGAGTTCAAAGTGTAGGAAACAGAACAGAATAGATATATCATGAGGCTACCTATGTTTGGTAATGGGATACACCAGAATGAAACACCTAAAAGAAGTGAATTTAACAAAGATAGGAGAGATTGGAAGAGATTTTACTTTCCATGCTTCCTTTTTGAGTTATTTGAGTTTTCCTACACATGCACTGCTTTTGTATTTAGGGGAAAATATACTGGTCTTCTCCAGATCTACTCAAAATATCTTAAAAATAAAGAAAAGAAACCAAAAGTTGAGAAAGAGAAAAAAAGACTTAATAAAGAAAGCTCATAGGACCCTCATTTACTGCTCTCAGAGACCCCTGAAACCACTCACCTGGGTATCTTAAAAGGACCCAGCCAGCCTGCCTACTACCCCATCTCAGTAACATCTCAAGTCCTAGTAAGGTTCCTCAGAGGTTTTGGCCTTGAAACAAAGCCCAGTCACTTTCCAGACTCAAAGTTAGCAAGCAGGTGTAATGAGCAACAAGGAGATAGCAGTTGAGCTATAAATAAAGCAACACTAGACAGTGGGGAGTTTATAACAAGGTAACCTTCCCCACACAATGAAGAATGGGTGAGTCTGGGTCTATCAGCTTGTGTGTGATACCTACCATTTAGAGAGTTTTTTTTTAAAAAAAAGGACACAGTAACAGAACAGAATAGGTGCCTATGAATCTACTCGTTAGTAGGATGGATCAGAACAAGACATCTAAACAATCAAACTGTCAAATCTTTGTGTACAGCAGAGCAAAATAGACCAATATTCTCCTAAGGATCTCATAATCTCACAGTACAACCATAAAGTTAGAAAAGTTGGGTACATAAATGACAACTCAGAGTCCTTCGGTTGTATAAAAAAAGCAGTTTCAAAGAGTGAGAGATTAGCAAAGAAAAGCTAGAGCCGGAGCAGGGATGAGTCTAGAGAACACCAACAGGACCTAGGATTATGGTTCTTAATCAAAAGCCCTCAGGCAGAACTATGAAAGGGTCAGGAAGGCAGGCAGGTGCAGCTACTTGGAGAGCAAAGCAGAGCTAGAAGGGATGACAATGTGAACTAGCTGGTTCTGATGTCCACTCCATCCCTCCTGACTGTTTTTTGAATTACATACCCTAGTAACAGGAGCACATTCCCTTTAAGAGGGCCATGCTGGGTCAGAACACGTGAGTTACAATACTGTTAAACAGAAAACATTCTTCACTGAAAAAAAACAATTCTTTACCATGTTCTTAAATTATGAGGTGCTGGTAGGATTTAAGTACAATCCTATTTCTATGTACTGTTTCAAGAGTAAATACAAAAAGTAGAGTCACTCGTGAGACAGTATACACAGCATCTGCTTCAATAGTCATCTGACTGTATGCACCGATCTAATTCTCACATCACTCCCAGGAGAACCACTTTAGTATTTCACTTTATAACAGAGTAAACTATGTAAGAGTGGCAGTGTTCACTTGTAATCCTAGCACTCTGGATCTAAGGCAAGGAAAGCACGTTTAACACTGATCTAGGCTACATACTGGGACACTGTCAAAGGAAAGAAAAGGGGGAAGAAGAAAAGGGAGTCAGAGGGGACAGAGAGAGGGAAGTCTTGATTCTTTTTTTTTTTTTAAGGGTAAACTGAGGGAGAGAGGGGTTAAGCAAATTGCCCACGGGTACATAGCTAGGAAACAGGAAAACCATCATTCAAACCCAGGGAGTCTGACTGAAGGGGCTACAATTAAGCATCTTGCTGCCTAGTTTACTCATGCAACAGTTTGCCCTCAGTACTGCCCTGGCAAGGAAAAGAGACCCTAGCCACAGAGGTGTTCCAGGCTCAGTACTATAACTGCACCTGTCAGGACATGTCTCATGATGCCAGGTAAAAGAGCAAGAAACTACGAGAGCCTGACACCATGCTGGAGCTTTTGGGGTCAACTCTGAACACAGCCAGGACCTGGTCTCCTGCTGACCACCCACCTCCTTCCCCCTACCCATATGCATAAGCACTTCTTACTAAATGGAGAACCGACTGGAAGAGTTCCCAAAAAGGCGACATTCCACAAGGAAGACCAAGCATGCTAAAACACTTCTGTGGTTTCCAGAAACATCTGCGGACCAATGTCCCAGACTTTTGAGGAACTCTAGAGCCTTGCTGAGGAATGTAAAGTCAGGAACAAGAAAAGATGTTTCATTCCCCTGCCACCATTTCTGCCATCTCTGGGCTTATGGTGAAAGAATCTGCAAAATGCAAGGCTAACCCTGTAAGAATGTAAGGCACCCAAGACACTGAGAGTCACATGTCAGGACTCATTCCCCTCAGGCCTGGAGGTGCAGGATGAGTACTGGCTTCTACCTGCAACTTCTGCTTGTTTATTTGTTTTGAGACAATGTCTTGAGTACCCCAGGTGTACTCTGAACTAAGCACAACCTTGAACTCCTGATCCTGCCTTCATCAAATCAGGGTTTGGATTACAGGTGTGTGCCATCACGCCTGGCTTCTGCCTGCAATTTAGACTGTGTTCTAGAACACAGTTTAAGAGATAAAGGGAAACTGAGATAGTGACAGCCCCAGGTTAATCCTGTACCTTGACACTCTGTCATCCTATGTATGTAATAACTAGCATCCAACATCAGGCAAGTGTTCCCAAATCCAATGAAAGCAACAAGAAACTCTGGGCCACATAGCAGTCAAGCTCCAAAGACACATTTTACTAACCCTACTTGTTTGGAATAAGACATTGCCCACTTTGTAGACTTTAATCCCATGTCATGTCCAACACAGTGGCGCACATCTAAAAAATAGGAGAATTGCATGAGCCACCGGGCAGCCTGGGTTACACAGTAAGTGCCCAACAAGCCAGGGTTCTGTAGCAAGACTCTGTCACAAAATAAGGAAAACATAAATTGCCATGCCAAAGAATTACTATTTACTCCCACAGAGCAAGAGTCTAGGATACAAATACATTTCCAGGACCAAACCAAAAAAAAAAAACTCCTAAGAGAGAGCAGCCTTCACTCTTTACCAGAACTCACAGCATTTCTTCCCTGCCTTCCGCAGGTTTGAGGTATGAGGTTTACAGTTGCTGCTGCTGCTGCTTCTGTGTTCTGTGGAAGATGAATTCCCAGACATGGTAGTTCTTCAGGAGGCACCTGGGAAAAGAGATAGGGGAAATACAAGGAAGGGAAGGAAGGTGTCCCTAAAAACAATAGAGATTATTGTGATACAAGCAAGGAGTCCCTACCAAGATTCAGATCCTGCCTCTTCCTCCAATTCAAGCGCACTTGTTCTTGGATAATTCACAAACCCGACTCCTCACCTATAGAGCTGCACTCCAACTTAGAATTTATTTGTTGACCTTGTTCACATTCATGTATCTCAAATCCAGGAAGCCTTCCAGTAATCTTTCAATAAAGCAGATTTTCCCATCATGATTACTTCAGTTTGTTTTATAGAACTGACAAATCAAAGATAACCGACTAAAGTGTTTGTCCAATTCTCTAGACCTCACATTCTAGTTTTAAGAATACGGAGAGAACGGAGGTGGCAATCAGAGGTGAGGTGGAGGTGGGGAAAAGCGAAGTGCATTGTCAAGAAAGCAATCTCAATCCAAAGGTAAGACTCAGTCTTGAAGCGGGAAAAAAGAAGAATGAGAAGGGGAACGCTGGAGAGGCCAGGGGCAGAAACATGTTCTCTGAAGGAAGAATTGTAACGGGACTGCGATATCCCTAGCGTGTTACACTCTCCTCCTCTGTTCTCCATTCTCAAGTCGTCCTCCCTGCCCTCTCCTTTCCACCCTCTGGGGCTCAGCGGAAGAAAATGATTTACATACAAAGTAAGCCTTGGGTCCTAATACCAACTACAGGGTAGGAGGGACCGAGTCTCACTTCTCAACCCAGATAGATACCAAGGAGCTCAAGACAAAAGGTCGTATTAAAAAAGCAAACAAAAAACCCTTGCACGGCTCCTCGCCTGACAGCACAAATCCTTCAGTCCTAACAGCTGCGGCTCAGCTCCCCAGGAGCGCCAGGGGAGCTACACTTCCCGAAGGGCTAAGCACCTTAGCCGCGCCCGCGCAGCACCCCATCCTCGCGTCCTCGCATCCTGCTCAACCATCGCTCACCCTATTCGACCTGCCCTATTCGTCCTCGGGGCTGTGGATCTGGTGTCGCCACCGCCACCGGAGCGCCGAGAACCAGACCTTGCCGACAGACTGAAGCCCCGGACCCCCCCTCCCTCCCCGATCACGTGGCCCGCTGGCTCCGCCCACCAGCGCATCAGCCCTCACCTGGAGGCAGGCTGGACCAATGGAGCACCTGCAGGGCCACAGGCGGGCTCCTGGGGAGGCTGGGCTGCCTCGGGGAGGATCTGTGATCGCCTAGGGCTGCGGGCTCCCAGACCCGACGACTCAAGTGGAGCTTGGTGGCGTCGTTGCTTAGGAACAAATCGAGCTGAAGGCGGGGTTAATTAAAAAGCCTTACCTTTTTTTTTTTTTTTTTTTTTTTTCCCTTACTCTCGCGAGACCTATTTGACTGACATCCTGCGTGGGAGTTGACTGGGGAAAGAGCGAAGATTAACGCCTTCACGCCTGAACCCCAGCTAGGCTCAGGTTACTCCCCAAGTCTCGGGGAGGTAGACATGTGCTTTTAATTGAGAGATGCCCGGCTGGCTACCAGGGTGCGAGAGCTGACTGCTAACCTAAGCCAACCAGGCTCCAAACCCGAGCTTCCCTGGCCCCAGGTGGCTCCAAGCCACGCCCCCTCGTGTCCTCCCACTGCCGCGACCCAGACTGTGTCACCCGTGGTCATCTGGAAGAGCCAGGGAGGAAAACTGCACCTGCTCCTGGTGTGGGGGGTGGAGAGGGATAACATTTGCTGCTGCAGTGGGTTCTTTTTTTTTTTTTTTTTTTTTTTTTTTTTTTTTTTTTT